ACTGGACGTCGTGAGGTATGTTTCGGTCGAAGCCGAGATCGTCTCCGCATCACGGTCTACGCAGAGACGCTGGATATCACTCTTCCAAGTAGACGACAACGCCACTGATCCATGACAACGCACCAACTCGCACAGGGGATACAAGCGGGAGTGGGGGAGGGGGGCTAGAGTGGGCAGCGTACGTCGCGCGATCAGGACAATACGAGAGGCCAGACTAACCACGTCAACACACACAGTAGAGCGCACCTTCATGTCCCCACCAAGGACTTTAGCGAGGGCCTTGATGATGTTCTGGTTGAGGTGCCATAAACAGCGCCTCGCCAGCGCGTCCGGGAACACCTCTCGCACCGCCGCCGTCATCGCCGCATCCGCGTCCTGGATGAAGATATCCGGCTGCTTCCCCCCGCGAGACTCCAACGCACTCTTCAACATCCACAGGAAAGTGTCCGTTGTGGTGTCCGCCGTTATGCTTTGGCCGACGATCCGCATCCGATACTCCGAATCGATGACAGCGAGCGGTATCTGTTCTTGACGGCGGTGTCGTCGTAGAGCGCAACGTGACCGTACCGATTCCAAAGCGCCACCTGCGTGTTCGGAGCATGACGTCGAAGGGGGTCGAGAGCACTTCATTGTGGGTGTGACCTGTGTTGGACGCATCACAACGCACCCCCACCCTTGCCTACGGCCTGCTTTCGGTCAGACGTCCTACATTTGCGTACGGCCAAGCGGTACGTGCGAGATGCGAAATGAAAGCAAAGCTTCCGGCTGGGGTAATATTCGTATGGGGCACAACGACCGGCGACCTACCTGCTCTCTCGTTTGCCACCAGATATGCGTCAGGCGGCCGCCGTCATCCATCTTGATCTCGCACAGTCCGCGGTCGGCCGTCGCGGCCATGACCTGAAATTGCAACATGTTAAGCGCCCGGAAACATCGAGGGCATCAGCGCAATCCACGACGACGGCACGGAACATATTTTTTACCGCCAACATTTCTTGGTTTGGTGTCATGGGGCATATACTCTCCCAGTTGTCACCTGCGATCGTGTGTGTCTCGCGCCCGGTTCCCGCCTTGAGCAAAACCCAACATCCCACACGCAAACAAGAGAGGCAATACTCTCAACGGACACATGGACACACCTCTTCGTACGCATCGGCGGCATCTCTCGGCTTCTCCGCCCCGTGCACAGTAGCAGCCGCGTTCGGCACCGCGCGCTTGTTGATGTCGATGTCGCTGTGCTCATGCAACGCCTTCATTGCTTCTGTCACCTCTTTTGGCTTCATCCCATGACCTGCGCCGTGCGGGAGAGCCGGGAGCACAAAAGTAAGTGGCGTGTCACGGACAAACAGGGTAACAAGGTGGAGGCGACAGCAGTACCACGCTTCNGTTCTGCACCGCGCGCTTGTTGATGTCGATGTCGCTGTGCTCATGCAACGCCTTCATTGCTTCTGTCACCTCTTTTGGCTTCATCCCATGACCTGCGCCGTGCGGGAGAGCCGGGAGCACAAAAGTAAGTGGCGTGTCACGGACAAACAGGGTAACAAGGTGGAGGCGACAGCAGTACCACGCTTCAAGGGCCGTTCGTCATGCGGCATCATGACTACCAACCATGACAAACCGTGGGATACGACGGGAGCTACTGTACACCTACTCCAATGCGTTCAATCTTCTCACTTGTCATCTGCTGCACTTGTCCCAGCTGCTCCTCCGTTAGTTTTGATGCGAGGCGAAGCTTGACGTCGATGGCCTTGCGGTCGACGCTGTGGTTGTGCGTGAGCTTCATGTTGCTAATCCTTGGCCACCTGTGGGACTTCGCGTGCCGGACGTTAACCTGAATAACGGAACGGTGGGTCCACAATAAGGATAGAAGAGTAAAAATTAAAGATGGATAAGTGGGATATGTGTGTGTGTAATGGATCACAACATGGATCATGGATCACAAGACACCCGACCGACCCCTCCCCGATTCTAAATACGCAGTTCGGACATCTTTTTCAATCTCACGCTCAAAGACCCCAAGACACCTGTTGGACCCTTTCTCCGTCCACTGCACCAAGACATGTTCCGCGGGAGACCAGCTACGTACCTCAAACGGACAACCAGTCCTCGCGCTTCCCTTTACGTTCCGCCGTTGTACCCCAGGTGCTGCAACACGCAACGACATGGGAGACGGAGTATAGGCGGGGTGTCATCGGCGGTGTGTCATGCATTCCCCTGCACCGAAGCATGCATACTAACAACAGGCTTGCCCGCGACTCGCCCCATATTCGTCGCCTCAACCATTCTCCTAGTATGCCCAAGTGCCACCGATGAAACGCTTACCGGTGTCGAGACTGGTTTCGTACTCCGCTTGCCGGCTCTTCCCGCCTCGGGTACAAATCAGCTTCTTCATGTCCACACGATCCGTTGCGCCGTCGCGACACCTCGTCGACTTCGCGGTAGAAAGGATCGCCCCTTCACCGGCGCACAAACTCACCACCTCCTCCTCCACGTCTTCAAGCGTCCTTCCCTCCGTCTGCACTGCCTCCAGCTTCGCCTTTAACACAGCCGGAACGTACACCTAGTGTTTAAACCGCAATACGACGGGTTAAATAGCGGCACGTGCTTCGGGGTGTGGACGATTCTACAGCACAGCAGTGGGATGTTAGAGCATCGAGCACAAAAATACCAGAACTGGATTACTGTACTACAGCACCGAGCAGGCGAATGCAGCGGGCAAGTCACACAGAATGAACATTCTTGTAGGTAGACCCAGACCAACACATGCATGGCCCATGCCATCGCAGCCTCCCCGTCGTGCATGAGGGTGGAACACGGGCATTGTCACCTGAGTTTCCGGCGGACGNGTGGGCTTGTACAGGGTAGCCCGCAAAACCTCCGGCGGCCCCAGCATCGGGAGCACCCACAGGGGCCGGAGTTCCCAACGGCAGACCAGTGCGGGGTGAAAACATGGCCTGCAACCGCACGCGAATCCCACCACGCGGCGGAAGGGAAGGACACTATGTCAACGATTGATCACAAGACAAGACAAATGACACGTTTCGCCGTCCACCGCTGAGTACACGAAAACAGCGAACCGTACGTGCACGCGTTCAAAGGCACGAGGTACAGCACAGCAGGGACATGTCCATTGGCGTGCTACACCCACGGAACAAACATTGCCGGTGTCACGACAAACCGCACTTGTCAAACATCAACCCGTCTCGCCTGCGTTTCCGGCGGAGGGCTGGTGGTCAATATCTGCTGCTGTTGTTGCTGTACGGGGTGGGCTTGTGCAGGGTAGCCCGCAAAAGCTCCCGCAGCGCCAGCATCACGAGCACCGTAAGAGGCCGGCAGAGCAGCACTGGATGAAAGCATTCCTAGCAATGACACCACCGCACGGCAGGCCACGGGTCCCACAACGCGAGCATGGAGGGTAGACACATGAAGTTAAGGGGTTGGGCAAGTGCGTGCACATGCCAACACCTCCACCAGCCCAGTATTGTAGCACCACCATACAGCCGAGCAGCCACAAGAAAAGGCTCCGGATTACACGGTAAGGACAACAGGCCTGGCCTGACCACACCAGTGCAGGCACATGATCACCAACGTACGTACGACGGCAACAACAGGTACAGAGCAGCATCGACAGCGTGGTGCAGCATGAGGGAGGCTGCAACACAAAGAGACAGACTAACACACACATGGCGCTGGCGCGGGCGCGGCGGTTCCTATTTTATTCCTGGAAAAAACATCACAAGAGAGGGTGAGGGTGAGGCACAGACACAGAGGATGCACGGACGGCTGTCGGGACGGGATCTCACCAGTTATCGTTGTGTGTCGTCTCCTCGTCTTCCCCCAGCGTGCGGGTGCGTGTCGCCGCCTTCAGACGGCTCTCCGCCGCCGTGATTATGTGATTGTCGTTGCTTTCATGGGCCTGCGTTTATATTAAAGGGAGGAGAACCTCTTCGGGGACGCAATGGGCGGCTTCCCGGGGTTTCGACCCGTCTGGATGTTTGGACTGTGGTTCTCTTTTTCAATCCATGGATTGCAAATAGTCGCCTAACCCTAGGGTAACCCTATCCCTAACCCTAACCCGGGGTTGTACCCTATTTATCCCCGGATATGGGGTTCTTCGAGTCGCGGTCACATATTAGTATGCACAGCTTCCTTTGTGTGTAGTCTACTGGAAAACTGAGCAGCATGAAACATTGCACTTTCTGCGTGCCGCAGTAGCACAGCGGGAGCGGGGAGCTGGATGTGCACGGACGGCCCTTGGTTGGTACTCCCCGTTACATATTCATAGGTAGGGCTTCAATCTTCGTACATGCTATCTGCGAGCCCCCCGCTGGTAGTCTCGCCGCTCTTCCGCTCTTGCCACCAATATCTCTGTGGCTTCCCAGGTACCAGATGCGCCAGTGGCTTGGCCACAGGATAGGCTAAAACAGCACAGAGGGGGAAAGAGAGATCAGGCTAACAATGTCAGAGCAACTTCCCCCTCTAGTTTCTCATGATTCCCTCCGCATCATCACGGCCGCAGCACAGGTGAGGGGAGAAGAAGTGGCAAACGTATGCTCCCTACTTCCGACCAAGACTACCATAGTTTTATCGGGGGATCGGGGGATCGGGGTGCGGTTCCCACCGCGTAGGTATCTGTGTTGATGCCAAGGGGTCTTGTCGTGGTTATGTTTGATTAAGTCCAGTAGAGTTGCAATCAAGGTGACGTGTTATTAGAAGTTCTGACTGGTACCGGAACAACAAGGAAGAAGACTCCTGGTGGGTCAGACTGACCTCGTGTGGGCGTCTCTTCGTCCACACAAAAAAAAAAATGTCCACAAATTCTCAAAATCCGATTCTCAACTTCAACTCTGCTGACAGTCCATCGCGTTCAGTCCATACTTGCATTCCGGGAATCTAAGATTCTATCCAATCCTCTCAAAGACCTGTCAAACCCCTCAAACTTATTCCCCGATTAACATACCGATCCGCCTCACAACCCTCCGATAGGTCAGTACTCTTTCAAACATTTCCCGCTCTTTTCCACCTACTCTCTTTCCAAGTAGTACTCTTGACTGCACTCAATTTACACCAGCCCTGTTCCATACCACACTTTTACCCTTAGTTACTTGGGAATTCCACAGTTCCAAGGAAAGCGGCCCGATTGCACCACATTCGCCTACCCTGATTCAGTGTCACCCTTTCTAAAGATAAGTTGTACACAGAAACAACACAACAAGATGCAATCTCCTATACACGTTCCTCATGCTCAAACCTCAACTCTGTTCCTTGATCCTCCTCATATGCATTCCAATTTTCATTCCAATCCAACACCCTGTCGTGCTCAATTCAACAATTAAATTTCATCAATCTACAGCAGTCGTGATCCCACAATCCTGTTCAATATGCTGTCAACCACACATAAACCACTTGTCAATTGACTACATAATACTAGTAGAAGTGGAGGATAGGGGAGGGGCAGTCGACAGAATCCAATGATGATAGATAAATAAATTATTATACTCTTCTCAATCTTCAAATCAACCTTATGCTCTCAACTTCCATGTTGTACTTCTCACAGATTTCTCATTTTTTTTAATGTCATCCTCATCCTCATGCCTGCTGCCTACACTTCCTTCTATACAAATCCTCCTTCAATCCCTCTTTTATTCCCTCAATCTGTTCCAGTCAATTCCAACCATGTTTGCTGTTCTCACACTTGCTGCTATCATCTCATCCTTTCCAATCACTCATGATTCTAACTTTTCTACACTCATGATTCCAACGCAAACATGTATTTCTTCACAGACTTGTTGGTGACATGAGCATGCCAGCACCAAGTTCCAGGTTGTTTCACCAAATTATCCGTTGCTAGCACGCTCTCCTTCAGCTCCACGTTGATGTGTTTTCCGATGTCCAGCAACTTTATTGTGTGCGTTGTCCTTCCAGTTGCTTGATCCACCCCCACTTGTGTCACCACCGCAAATTGCCACCCTACTCATTTCGTTTTGTAATAGATGTACGATCCGATTAGGTCAGCAGTTGAAATATCAAGTCTCCCTCTGACATCACACAACACAGCTTGTAACCCTTCGCCACATGTCTTTCCCCTGATTTGTGTGCAGCTAGTCTCTTTGCCAGTTGCACTCTGTACCTCCGATACATGGCATTTCCACCTGCGGTTTGTTCTGGCTGTTGTGCCCAGTTTTTCATCACCACATCGCCATATTGTTCCAATTCCACCTCATGCTCCTAAATACACTTCTCCGATCCCGTCCAATACGTGTATTATTGTACAGCGATCTTTCCACTTAATCCTCGGCAATGCGATGCCTCGAAAGTTTATAAGGATTCAGTCGGCGTCTATCCAATTCTTGCTCAACGTCGTTCTCTGTGAGATGAAATGGAGGTGCCAATTCTGAGTATGTGTTCAACACATACGTGCTCAGTGCCCAAGGTAAAAACCTAGGCTTGTCCGCCTTACCGAAGGCATTGTAACACTTTTGCATCGATGCACTGACACCCTCTCATTAATCTTTCCCTGACTCATCCTTACGTATTTCGAGCAATAAAACCTTGGGTCCCACTTCTTTGTCATCTGGTCCTTTTCCTGGGCCAACAAATAATATCTTGTATGGACCCGTCCAGCAATATGCTAGTTTGACGATTGACGCGTATGGTTTTCCTCCTCTATTGTAATCGAGTGCCGATGTTAACACATGTTCTCCCCCTCCTGATATTGTGCTTAATCGTCATACTCTAGGACCCAATCGCCCTCCTCAAACTGCTCTTTTGCCAATTACTTCCCCTATCTGCTTATTCTTGTCGTGATGTTTGTGCTTCGTGATTCATCCTCCTCCCGGACCAACTCATATGCCTTCACTTGTCGGTCCCTGACCAAATCCAAGTAGTCAAGTTGATCCCTTTCTAACCCTTGTATCCCCCGTGTACCCCTTCTTTCCAAAATGGTCACTGGCAGTCTTTGATACCGCCCAATGTATACCAAGTCCTGTTCCTCTGCTCACGTTATCATTGTGTGCTGAGTTGCATGTGCCAACATTTCGTCCCAATCTTTTTGATTATCCGCCACCAAGTGCGCCAGCAGTTGATACACGGTATGATTTAACCTTTCCACCATTCCATTCGTTTGGGGATGATAGGAACTAGTGAACTCTTGATAGATCCCAGCATTTTTTACACCCCTTTCGCCACACCTGTAGCAAATTCCGGTCCTCTATCCGACAAAAATGTGCCTCTATCCGACAAAGATGTATGTGGACAACCCCAATCTTGGTTTGTATTCATTGACCAAAATTGCTCAAGAAAATGTACTCAGTCATTCTTCGTTTTCGGCAATGGACCCAAAGAGTCAAAAGATACCATCTGTCCAGGCCTACTTGGCAAAGGTAATGAAACCAATGGCCATAGGTTCGTGTACCTCGGTGCTTTTCTGAAGCACCTACGGCACCACCATCGCACACTTTCCGCCATTCCCACCCACCAAATGCTTAACGTCACCTTCTCACCTAGGTGTACTGCTTTTGTGTGCGCAGTTCATCACCCAAGGTCGTAACATCAGAGGCACGTTTGTCCGTACAGGTTCATCCCCCAACAGCCTGTCGGACTGTCCCGGATTCCGGTTTGGCCTGTTTGATGGTTCACGCGTCGCACGACGAATCAGCAATTTACGTGAATCAGCCAACACCATGATCGCTCCTTGAACGACCAACCGTTTAACATCATCCATATCCACCCCTTCAGGTATGTCATTTTCCACTATTTTACGCACTTACACCTCATCTGCAATTGACTGGAGTGCTGTCTTCGCTGTCAGGTCGTTGTTTTCCGCTTCGACCCAATCACCTGCCGTCTTTTCACATAGCCGTTCTCCAAATTCTTTGGCTTCCTTGCTCTTCCAACCCTCTAATTGGGACCCCTGCGATCGAATCACTGGTGTTGGTTCAGCTTCAGATCCACCACCTGCCGAGCCTCCTCCTTCATTTGAGTTGATCACCATGACCCTCTTTCTCTTGACTCGTTGTTGCTTTTTGATAACTCCCATTCCCAAAAAGCATCTTCCCACCTCTGTCATCGGGACCGCATGCAGTATTAAACCTGATTCCCATTGCCCACTAACCACCATTCTCCCTGGACCTACCAGCGGAGTCTCGTCTTTCAACACATAAATTTTCGGTTTATCCTGCACTCTTAGAGCCATCGTTTCTCTGTGCTGCTGAATCACCTGCCACGTCCGATCTGCCTCTTCATCGGTCGTGAGCGGCCGATGTCCAGCTTCCCACACCACAAGATTCTTGCGAGGGTCGGCTCGCGTCGGACGTCTTGGCCCACCCAAGACAGGACCCACTCTCGCAGGAATCACCCCGCTTGCACCTATCATATACACATCCAGATCGGACTGATCAGCTAATCTCATTTCGGAAGATGCATCTTCCTCCGTGGGCGGCAAAGGTAAGCGAGACATACAATCCGCATTGCCATTTGCTTTGCCCGGCCGATAAATCAGCTCATATGCGTACGCTGACAGGAAATCAAACCACCTTTGAACCCTGTTGTTCTTTTCCGCCAAGCTCTCTAAATTTCGCAAAGGTTGGTGATCTCCGTATATCTTAAACGGATTGCCGTAGAACAATGTTCGGTTTTTCTTGATAGCCCAAACGATTGCCCCACACTCCAGCTCTGTTGCACTCCACCTCCGTTCATTGGGATACGTCGACCTGCTCAAATATCACAGGGGTCGCACTGTACCATCCTCTTGCTCTTGTTCAATATCTGCTCCAACTCCAGATATCGATGCATCCGTAAATTAACCTATACGGTCTTTTCCCTGATANTGCGCTGGCATATTCTGCCATAGACGCCGACATGCCACCTGTTGCGAGGGGTTTAAAGCAGCCATAACATCATCCGGAGGTTCATCTTCAGGCACTTCAGTTGCATCACTTGACACCATATGTACCTTGTAGTCCTCATTCGGGATACGCCTTGCATCGTCCATACTAACATCCTCCAGGGTTTCACCACCCTCACCCAACAGGTCATTGTACTTGACCAAAAATGCAGCATCCCCCACTCGTCTCAAAGGAATTTCAGATTTGCCTGCACTTACAAGTGCTTCTTGAGGAAACCATTTCTCCTTGAAGTTTACACGGCATGTTCCTTCTGCCGCTTCACTGTCGTCAGGGTTGGTCAATTCAACCTGTACCCAAGACATTTTGTTTGGCAACCATCGTTTCTTTCCCACACACCTGACTCCCACCCTGTCACTTCCCTCGTGTTCAATCATTCCAACAGCATTGCCAACCCATTTTGCGAATTTTTGGTCAGCTGCTGTTCCTTTTCCCTCATTTGTTTCTAAGGTGACCATTGTTTCATCATCCGATACATCCCTGTATTTTCGAATCGGAATATTAGACCACCTGTTTCGGCCCAATAAAACATCCACCTCCATAGCTCCGTCCGGGACCACATGCGCTAGCACAGCTAAACATGCAGTAGGTGATCCAATATTCTTCCGTGCTTGTTTTCCC